CACGGATGAAGAATCTTATAATGCTGCGCCGTTTATTTGATTTTCTTTTTACTTACGATCGAAATAGAACTGCGCCATATCCATCCTGGGACTATCCGATAACGTAACTGCAACTGGGCGACTTTAGTTTCAATGTTTCAGCAATATTAACAATCAATATAGAAAAATTAACATAGATTCAATATTGTAAAATATTAAATTCGATCACACTTTAACGTTCAACACAGCGACACGTCTCGGAACGTTTGTTCGACGTTCTATGCTGCATTGCTGCATAATCTCTCAGCGCGTATATATATAGGATAGCAATTTCGCAAAAAAAAGGATTGAAAGTAATAAAAAGACAAACATTTGTCACTGCTTTCTATCTACTCATAACTCACTGTCCAAGCAATTGGACTCTCATCATTTAACCCACGAATTTGAGTACCAATTAATTCAAATTGATCACTTTGATGTCAAAAACTAGTTATTATTTATACAAATGACGTCAAGTAAAATATGTCCAAAGTTTTTGCTACAATTCTTGCTAAGTTGATAAACAACTGCACGTTGATAAACAACTTACATGTCAGATTACATATATTATCTTACCATAGAAAATTAAATAGGAGAAAAATGGGTAAAATGACAACCTTAAGGTGGTTTTATCGTTCAACGTCGATGGTGTGACTTTGTCACATAAACGTCACACGTCAATAATCGCGTATGTACAGTCTATGCGAAATGTTTTTATTGAATTATTAGTCATAGGGAGGGATTAACTTTTGACTGGGACTTGTGCGATAAAATCACCTTAAGTTTTGCCGATTTTCCTAATTTCTGCGATGAAGTAAAAATAATTATTTTTTTTTTAGATTTATTAAATCCTTGTATATTATTTCTAAAAATTAAAATCGTTAGAAAAAATTAAAATTTTTTAAATTTAATATTTTTTAAAGACGTATCAATTTCGTCGTCTTACCCTCATAAGCAAGTAAATAAGGTGACTGTCGAATATCTACACAAAAAGTCAAATTAAATTAAAAATGTACTTTTTTTACAAATAAAATAACTTATTTTGTCGTAATAAAGTTCTCGTTATTTTAGTATGCAATATTTTAATATAATGAAAGAAAAACAGAAAACGAAAAAGATAACCAATAAACCGAATACGGTAATTTATTAAAGAACTAATTTGACGCAATTACGTTTACAATGCAATTAACAAATATAACCAGCATGCACAAATACATAACTTCGCTCACGCATGACGTTCGTTATCTCATTCCGCAATTATTGTGTTTATTTATTCAAGTAATGAATAGTTACGACTCTCAAACAATAAATCACATGTATCAAATATAAGGCACTTTTAGAGTCCACTCTGTTGTTGGTGCATAAAAATTCTTCTATTTCGATCCAGATAATACATAAAACGCGTTTTATGAATCGAAATAGAATAATTTTTATATAATAACGCAACAACAGTGTGGAGTATGTGGACTCTAAAGTGCCTTATTTGATACCTATTGTGATTTATTTATTCACTTAATAAAAATGTTGCAATGCAAAAAATAAAAAATATTAGTGTGTATTATGTAAAAATATTATGTTATTTCATATAAATGTAATTATATTATATTATACAAATCAATATCAAAAAATTACGTATGAGTCTATCTAATTGTAAAATACATTTTCCATTATAATAAATTATTTATTTTTGCAGACAGATTGAAATAAAACTGCCACAGATTATGTATCATTACCTAAAGCCTTTAATGAGTTACGTATGCAGCAAACATTTTGTGGCTAGTGGGAATGCCAGCAAACGATATTAAAGTCGAATCAGCTGTACTCTCAGTTAATCTTCAATGTGAACTAAATTAAAAGAACATATTCTACAATCAAATTTATGACAACACTACAGCAGAGTTGACAATAGCAATGAGACAACAGATTCACATAACAAATTCAGGACAGATTTATTTACTGCAAAGCATACGTTAATTCCATTTTTGCGAGACATTTGCTGACACTATTTGCAATAGCAAAATTGCAGGTTGGTCATCAATCAATTATATATATATTCGGTATCTGCTTTCTGTTAGCTGACACTCTGTTATATATTTTGCTAACGAAGGTTGTTGCGTATGACGGAAGTGTGCTATTATTAAGATTGGCAATAATATATTAGTTTATTTCTCATTAACGGTCTCCTGATAAACATACTTAATTTACTGCCAATATTTACAATTATGTAGATTATATTATAGAAGCATCGACTCGTTAACTGTTATTATATTAATTTAAAAATATTAGCAATATTTCATCTTATCTATTTTATCATTTTACTCCCCTTTTTCCTATAAGAATCGTTCGATTACATCATCGACAATTTATTAAAACGATAAAGATTTCGTTCAATTTAGATTATTATTTTATAAATTATAAATATAAATACAAACTGAATAAAAATTTAAATAGAGATAAAAATAAGTTATGTCTTAATTAACATTTTGAAGTTCTTAGAGTAGTGTGTTCGACGAATTAACAATATCCAAATAAATGAATAAATAATGAATTTGAATACGAGTAAATAAATGTTATTTTTAAAGGAAGGATGTCCTCCAGGCAAACTGGGAGATCCGGGTTTGACCTCCGGCTGAGCAGTGGCGGATCCAGAGAGTTGTTTTGGGGGGAGGGGGTGGTATAACGAAATGTGAATATTTAGTCATTATTGTCGTTAACGTTATTTTTAATATTTTTTATTATTTAAAAAAAATTAAGCAAACATTATTTAGTCTCGAATAATCTCTGATAATTTTTTTTCTCAATTCATATAAAACCGACTTTTTCCAATATACGAAATTCGTTTGGAGAGCTCTGGAGGAGGTCGCTCCTTCCGCTCTCCTTTTATATCCGCCACTGCGGCTGAGAACATGAGGTGATATTTTTTCGCAATAATTTCTTTACAGATTCGGGGGGAAGGGGATCGTATATAAAAATGCGTGTTAAATTAACTTAATTGTTACAAGTAAATGTCGGCCTTATGCAATAAGTTGTATTTCAAATCCAGCAATTATGCGGTTCGCAGTTCGCGTGTGGCTGGATATTGTAAAAAAACTATTACATACCGACATCCGTGTTAGCTCTCATAGACTTTTATTGTAGTAGGTTTGATTTATTCTAGAGAGCTCATGTAAATAATATTTAAATGTTATTTTTTTATTTATATTTATAGAAATTTGAATTAATATATTTGTGAATATATGATTACGATTTTACGAATATTTTCGATTTCGCATTCACTCTCAGTTTGTAAACACATAGTGAATAGAAATCTGTAAAAAGACTAAAAACAGCAGTTAAAATCAGCAGAGGAAACACATAGTAAAAAGATCTCGGATATTATCGTTATTGTAAATAACAATAAATAAAATTTTTTAAAATAATTATTCGAATTTTAAATTTTATTTAATTCTTAGCATTTATATCACATCACGAGGAGGGGAGATTTTAATAGATGCAAGTGAGCATCAGTACTTATTAAATTAATTATCAATTTAATAATATGATAATACTGTTCTGTTTTACGCAAAGAGCTGTGTTGAATCCAAAAGTAACGGCATACAGTTCGTTGAAACTAGAACATGTATGTAAAATTTACACTGAAATATATTAGAGATCCTGCTATTGATCATGCATCGGTCTTCTCTCAATTTATTGTGTTTAAAACACTACACGGCCGTAACAGATATACGTATTGTTTAAACTTTATGTCTATTTTTTTCAAAGTTACGTAAAGGTATTTACATAAAAAAAATTTATTATTAATTGCATCCAATTTTCAATTGACACTCTGAGAAATTCACACATAAAAAGGAATGTGAAAAAAATAATGTATGACAGAATAATCGTTATTATAATTGTGTTTTATTCATATCCAATTAAATATTACAAATTTTAAAAACTATAATAATAAGTTTTTAAAATTAAAATAAAATTTAAAGTCAAGGCTCCAAATTATTCCAATATTAATAAAAGAAGTAAAAAAGGGCCAACGAGCCAAAGCTTGGGTGTTATATCGCTCCAATATGTATTTATTAATTTAACAAATTCATTATTTGAATAACAAACGTTTCGACCCCGAACGAGTCATTTTCAATGTTACAATAAATTAATTCGTGCCTAACATAAAATTAAAGAACATAACAAAACTTGATACGCATTACGATTCGCATTTACATAATAGCAGTCTAAATTTTAAAAT